GCCACAGCGCTGGCCATTTTTTGGTTGCAGCCATCATTGTTGTTTGGTGGGCCCGGGCAGGGGATTCGAACCCGCCACCTTAGGTGTATGTGGCTGGCACCTTAGCGGCTTGAGCCACAGGCGCCGAGCCCAGGTTCCCTAATTAATGAATTATATTTCCTATTGGTATTATGAAAACTCACATTATAGCAGAAATAACCTGTTTGTCCATGTATTTTATGAGTTGGATAAACTTTAATGGGCTCCATTTGGACTGAGTCAGAACTTGATTGCTGTGGGAAGAAATATTTTCCTTCAGACAAACTTTTGGAGCATAACTATTTTTTCATCTCTAAAACAGGGACAATACTCTACCTATATATCACAGTTTTGTTCTAAGCATCAACTGAGAGAGGAAATATTTATTCTTTTGACCAAACCTTTAATGAGTAACTGTGTAAAACACTGTGCCAGGTGATAGAGAGGTATATCACATATGCTCTCTACAGCTTAGTAGGCCAAGAAAGCTATGTAGAAAATGAAATTGATTGTCATGGCTACAATATATGGTGATGTAGGTAGTGGTGCAAAAGAGTAAATATAAGGCCTTGGTAATAGTAGATATTTGAGCTGAATCTTGAAAATGTTTAGTTGCTTGTTAGGTAGCCGCTGGTGAGGATAGTAATGAGTAGAGCAGAGAGCAAGAGCAACAATACATATAAATATTAGAGGCTGAAGGATAAAGAGAGTAAAAATCCCAGGGCGCTGTAGGATAAGGGGTAAGGTATATAGATGAATAAAATAGGACTGGAAGGAGAGATGCATGATTTTAGGAGCCTTTCTCAGGAGTCTGAAGTTTATTCTATAGACAGTAAGAAGCCATTATAGGGCCTTGAACCAAGAAATAACATGATTGGTTTTACATTTTCAGAAGATGCCCATGTTCCACAGCATATGTCTTTAGGAAAATGCAAATTAAAAACACCGAAATACCTCTATATGACTGTTTGAATGGCTAGAATCCAGAACACTGACACCACCAAATGCTGGAGGATATAGAGTAACAGAAGCTCACATTCATGCTATGGGAATGCAAAGTGGTATAACCATTTTGGAAGATGTATGGAAGCTTCTTACAAAATTAAACATACTCTTATCATATGATCTAGTGCATGTGCTCCTTGGAATTTGCCAAAATGAGTTGAAAGCTATGTCCATGCAAAAACCTGTACACTGATGTTTAAAGCAGCTTTGTTCATAATTGCCAAAACTCGGAAGCAACATGCCTTTTAGTAGATAAATTGAGAAATAATCTGTGGTACATCCAGATGATAGAATATTATTAGCACCAAAAGAAATGAGCTATCAAGCTGTGAAAAGACATGGGGAAAACTTAAATGCATATTGCTAAGTGAAAGAAGCCAATTTGAAAAGGCTGCCTACTGTGTGGTTCCAACTATGTGACATTCTGGGAAAGACAAAACCATAGAGAGAATAAAAAGACGTGTAGTTGCCAAAGTTGGGAGGAAAGGGGATGAACAGGCAAAGCTGGAAGGATTTTTGGAACAGTGTATCTTATTCTGTGTTCTCCTACCTACAGGTACAATGGTGTATACATGTCTTATGCATTTGTCCAAACCTGTAAAAGTATACCAGGAAGAGTGAACACTAGGGTAAACTGTGGACTCTCTGGTAATGATATGTCACTATAGGGTTCTACTGTTATAACAAATGTACCAGTCTGGTACAGAATGTAATAGGAGGCTGGAAAGGGAGGTATGTGAGAACTCTGTGCATTTTCTGCTCACTTTTGCTGTGAACCTAAAACAGCTCAAAAAAGAAAGTCTACTGAGAAGGGGAAAAAAATTCATTTTTTATTTTTTTTAACTTTAATTAATGTTAGCCTCTGTAGAATGATGTGGCATCATAGCTCACAGCAAAACCTCAGACTCTTGACTTAAGCAATGCTTTTGCCTCAGCCTCCCAAGTAGCTGGGACTACAAGTGCCTGCCACAATGCCCGGCTATTTTGTTGTTGTTGTTGCAGTTGTCATTGTTGATTAGCTGGCCTGAGCCAGGCTGGAACCCGCCAGCCTCCATGCATGTGGCTGGCGCCATAACCACTCTGCTACGGGTGCCGAGCCATCATTTTTTAAACTAACACATTCATTCTCCTTATGAGTTCCTTAATTGGTGAGGTTTTGGTGTAATGGCAATGTAAAATAATTTTAGAACTTTGTGTAACTTCTCCGCTTGTTTAAATGAAGATAATTGAGAGTAAAATAATCACTGAACAGTGTGATGATACCATGACCCAGTTTTCATGAGCTTTCTTTTCAGAATTGAAAAAAAATAGATAACTGTTGACATCCTGGAGGATAGATTGGAAGGGTAAAATTAAGAATCATAACTAGGCTATGAAAATTGTTAACTTGAGAGCTAATGAAGCCCCTAAACTAAATCCTAGGTCAGTATAGATGGAGAGGGTAAAAAATTATAGAAATACTAAGTTAGAAATCACGCCTATAATCCTAGCACTCTGGGAGGCTGAGGTCAGGATTCAAGACCAGCATGTGCAAAGTGAGACCACCCATCTCTAGTAAAAATAGACAGACTAGCCAGACATGGTGGCAGGCACCTGTAGTCCCAGGTATTTGAGAGGTAGAGGCAGGAGAATTGTTTGAGCCCAGGAGTTAGAGGTTGCTGGGAGCTAGGCTGAGGCATTGGCACTCTAGCCTGACCACAGAGTGAGACTCTGTCTCAAAAACCAAACCACACCATGGCAATGAAGAAAGAAGTTATTTAGATAGATAGAATGAGCAGTATTTGACAGTACAACCAAATGATTATAATCAACAATAAATTAGGGTATACTTTAAAATAAAGAGTAGAATTAGAGTAGTTAGTCCTAACACAAAGAAATGACAAATGACTGATGTGATGGATACCCCAATTACTCTGATTTGACTAATTCACATTATGCCTATATCAAAACATCTCATGTACCCTATAAAAATATACAATTATTATATACCCATAATTAAAAATTTTTAAAAAGAAAAAAAAAGTGTATTGTCAGGATTAGTCACTTCTAGATGTCACAGGCATGGGGATAAAAATCCAAAATTATTCCTGCATTTCTAGCTGGAGTGATTGGATGAAGGTGGTATTCTGCCAAGATAAGGGCTGTAGGATGAAAAGTAGGTTTGTGGAAAAGATGAGTAGTTTTGGATATGGTGAATTTTAGGTATGTGTGGGATGTTCAGATTTCAGATGCCTATGGAATATCATGCTTGTGGAGTGGAAATTATTAACCAGACAACAATCTTTAATGATAATTGCTCCTTTAAACACATTTCTATGGCTTGGCGCCCATAGCTCAGTGAGTAGGGCACCGGCCACATACGCCAAGTCTGGCAGGTTCCAGCCTGGCCCAGGCCTGCTAAACAACAATGACAACTGCAGTCAAAAAATAGCTGGGCATTGCGCCTGTAGTCCCAGCTACTGAGGAGTCTAAGGCAAGAGAATCACTTAAGCCCAAGAGTTTGAGTTTGCTGAGAGCTGTGACATCATGACATTCTACAGGAGGCAACATAGTAAGACTGTTTCAAAAAACAAAAAACCCCAATATATTTCTATGAAACTTTCAGTGACTTCAGTGCTATCTCATATCCTTAGGTAAGAGACAAAGTATAAAATTTATGTATGGCCCATATTTATTTTTGATTGTTGTATTTCCAGAGTGTTCACTTTCTGTTCCCCTAGGCTTACTTACTGATACCCTTCTCTCACTCTGAGACTTCTGTCCTGAAATACATTCAAGTCTTGGGAACACTTAACTCATCCTGTGAGGCCAGTGCCAAATCCAGACAAAGACATAAAGAAAACCATAGGTCTTTATCCCTTATGATTATAGACACAGAAATCCTCAAGAAATACTACAAACCAAAATCCAGCAACATGTATTTTTTTTCTAATTTTTGAAACAGAGTCTTACTTTATCACCCTTGGTAGAGTACCGTGGCGTCACAGCTCACAGCAACCTCAAACTCTTGTGCTCAAGTCAGCCTTCCAAGTAGCTGGGACTACAGGCACTCACCACAACACCCAGTTATTTTTAGAGACGGGGTCTCACTCTGGCTCAGATTGGTCTCTAGCCTGTAACCTCAGGCAGTCCACCCCTCTCAGCCTCCCAGAGGCTAGGACCGTGCCTGGCCAACATATGTTAATAGAAAGGATTATATACCATGTGTAAATGCAACTTATCTCAAAAATGCAAGCTTGAACCCCATGACTGCATTAATGTACACAGCTATGATTTAATAATAATAAAAAGAAAAGAATGCAAGCTTGACTCGACACAAAAATACACCATAAGAGAAGAAACAAAACCACACGACCATTTCGAAACACACAGACAAAAAGCATTTGACACAATTCATACCCCTTTATGATTAAAGAAAAAAATTAAACACCCAAACAATGTAAGAATATAGAAGCTCCTATGAAAAGCCCATAGCTGACATTGTATCTAAATCCTAGAGATAGGTGGTCTTTGCATGTCTATTTGTAGACATGATCTTGCATATAGGTCTTACATATAGAAAATCATAAGAAATACACTAAAAAAACCTATTCGGGCTAAATAAATAGTTAAGCATAGTTGCAGTACACAAGATCAATATGTTAAAATCAATTGTATTCCTATGCACTAGCAATTGACAATCTGAAAATAATTTAAGACTGCAAGTCCATTTATAATAGCATCAAAAAGAATAAAATACTTAGGAATAAATTTAATAAAAGAGTACAGGGCAGCGCCTGTGGCTCAGTGGGTAGGGCACCGGCCCAATATACCGAGGGTGGTGGGTTCAAACCCGGCCCTGGCCGAATTGCAACAAAAAAAAAGCTGGATGTTGTGGTGGGTGCCTGTAGTTCCACCTACTTGTGAGGCTGAGGCAAGAGAATCACCTAAGCCCAGGAGTTGGAGGGTGCTGTGAGCTGTGTGATGCCATGGCACTCTACCGAGGGCGATAAAATGAGACTGTCTCTACAAAAAAAAAAAAAAAAAAAAGTACAAAACTTTTACTTTAAAAACTATAAAATATTGTTGGAAGAAAAAGATGTCAACTAAAAGATGTTGTATTTATGGATTGGAAGACTTAATATTGTTAAGATGGCAATAATCTCAAAACTGATCTACAGATTTAACACAGGCCACCTGGCATTTTTGCAAAATGGCAAGCCGATGCTAAAATTCATATAGAGATTCAAGGGACTCAGAATAGCTAGTGATCTGGAAAGAGAAAGACAAATTGAACGACTCATACTTCCTGATTTCAAAATTTAACTACAAAGCTACAGTGATCAAGAGAGTGTGGTACTAGCATAAGAATAAACATGTAGGTCTATGTAAGGGAATAGAATTAAAAGTCCATTTACAGTCAATTAATTTTCAACAAGGATTCCAAGGTGATTCAGTGGGAAAATAATGGCCCATCCAACAAATGATACTGGAAGAACTGTTTTTGCACATGTACAAGAGTAAAGTTGGACCCCTCCCTCATACCATACACAAAAATTAATTCAAAACGGACAAAAGACCTAAATATAAGTGCTAAAAGCATATAATTCTTAGAAAAAGGTATGAGTACATCTTTATTACCTGAAGTTAGGCCAGGCTTTTAAAATATGACAACAAAAGAAAGAATAGCCAAATTAGACTTCATCAAAATTTAAAATTTTGTGTTCCAAAAGATAATGTCAAGGAAGTTAAAAGACAACCCATAAAATGGGAGAAAATATTTGCCAATATGACAACAAAAGAAAGAATAGCCAAATTAGACTTCATCAAAATTTAAAATTTTGTGTTCCAAAAGATAATGTCAAGGAAGTTAAAAGACAACCCATAAAATGGGAGAAAATATTTGCCAATCATATCTTATAAAGGGTTGTACTTAGAATGTATATTTCAGAAACTCTTAAAATTCAAAAAAATCCAATTTAAAAATGGACAAAAGCTCTTAATAAACATTTTTCCAAAGATATACAAATAGCCACTAGTCACATAAAAAGATGCCCAACATTATTAGTCACTAAAGAAATGCAAATCACTACCATAACAAGATACTACTTTACAACCACCAGGATGGCTTTAATCAAAAAGGCAATAACCAGTATTGGCAAGGATATGGAGAAATTGGCACCTTCATTCATTCTTGGTCAGATGACTATAAAATGGTTCAGACCACTTTGTGAAACAGTTTGGTAGTTCCACAAGTTGTTAAACAGAGATACCACATACCTCATTAAATCTACTCCAGATACATATCAAAGAGAAAGGAAAACATGTCCATACAGAAACTTGTATTTGACTGTTCATCACAGCATTGTTTATAATAGCCAAGAATTGGAAACTACTTAAATACACATCAACTGAAAGCCAGATATACACAATGAGATATGTCTATATACTCAGTAAAGGCCTATTACTTAGCAATGAAAAGGAGTGAAGAGTGAAGTACTAATACATCCTAGAGCATGGATGATCTTTGAAAACATTCTAAATGAAAGAAGTCAGTCAAAAAAGACCATACAGGGGCAGCGCCTGTGGCTCGAAAGGGTAGGGCATCAGTCCCATATGCTGGAGGTGGCGGGTTCAAATCCAGCTCTGCCCAAAAAAAAAGACCATACATATATATTTTATAATTCTGTATATGCAAGATGTCCAGAGTAGGAAAATTACGGAGACAGAAAGTAGAATAATGGGTGCCTATGCTTAGAGGGGGAATGGAAGGATTTGGGAGTGATAGCAACAGGATATGGGGTTCCTTTTTGGAGCAATGACAATAAAGTGATTGTGGTGATGGTTGCACAACTCTGAATATCCTGAAACCCTGTAAATTTCAGACTTGACATAAACGATTTTTATGGTGTGTGAACTCTATCTCAATAAAGCAGTTTATAAAAAGGTTTACCCACCTCTCTAGGAAGATGTGTATCATCTGCCCTATTTTAAGTTAAAGGTACCCCCTTCACAGAATTTTCTCTAATTGATAACGGTTTACACTTTGAGCATTCCTGTGTTCTAACGTCTATACTTGTTTATTTTACTGCTTCTATTTGTTGTGTTTGCCCCCCACACTCATTAGCCATTGTATGTTTGTGAATAAGGATTGTCTAATAGCTATTACCAATATTAACTTCATCTCTTAATGCTAGAAAAATAGAAACCCAAAACGCTCATTGGTTATTTAGTGAGTACTGTTTTTAAGGAACCTGTTAAGATGGCTACTATTCCTTTTGTTCACTATTACTCACATGTGCAGTGGCTATGATGTGGTTTATGCTTTATATGGTTTAGAAGACATAATTCACATGTTTTAGAAAAGTACATAAATTTCACAAAGTTTTGCTAAAATACACTGATGAGTTTGTTGGTTTAAATATCGTTGACAGCAAAAATATTTGATTATATACTATATATAATTGTGCTGAGCTCTAGTAAGAGTCTAAGATATAAAAATATATACCTATTTTTAATAATCTTACAATGTAGGTGGAAGAATGATTTCAGAGACAAATGTGAAAAATTCAGGATTAAACAAATTAATAGCGCTAATTTGAATTTTGAGTCTGTCTGGAAGATTGAAATTGGCCAGAGTTACTCAGAAAATCTTTATGGAAGAATGAGAGTTCGGGATAGGCATGTTAAAAAAATTATTCTTGTTTTTTAGGTACAAAACTCAAAACATGAACGATACATATTACCAATGTTTAAAGCTGATTTGTCTATTACTGGAATACAGTTGTCTACAACATACTCTAGAGGAATTAGAAAAGTCAAAGTAATGGATAACCGAAAAGAGCCTCCATTCTTCAATGAAGACAATGTGGGACCATTTTACTACAAACTTCCTTTCTATGATACCATGGAGCTTTTCATTGAAACATTAACTGGAACATGTTTTGAGCTAAGAGTTTCTCCCTTTGAAGCTGTTATTTCTGTGAAAGCAAAAATTCAAAGATTGGAAGGTACTAATCTTTCTTTACTTTTAGGCTGTGAGGATTAAATTTGTTGGCCAAAAATGTATGATAATTTTTAAAGTTTCTTTTTTAAGGGAGAAAATCTCAAACATATATGGTGTTAGAAGTAATAGGATAATGAACCCTCATGTACCTACCCTTCACTCAACTTCAGCATTTATCAACTATGAACTATCTTGTTTCCATGTCTGTGTTCCTCCTACCGTGTTCCCCTTTCACTAGATTCTGTTGAAGCAAATTTCTGGTATCATGCTAATGTTGTGAAATAATATTGTACAATAGTTTTCAGCAAGTTATAATAGCATGCAAACTCTGCCTTACTGTCTTACAGTTACGTGTAATGGGAAGTAGTAATTATATTCCTTTTTTTTCTTTTTTAATTGGGACCTGAGGTTTGGTAGGTGTTCCATTTTATTGACCTTACTTACCTTTTTACATTGCTTTGCAAATTTTTTTTTTTAAATGTGGAGATTTTCTGAGAAGAGTCTGACTTACATTTACATATATTCAAAGTTCCTTTAGTGGCTCGGCGCCTGTGGCTCAAGCGGCTAAGGCACCAGCCACATACACCTAAGGTGGCGGGTTCGAATCCCCAGCCCGGGCCCACCAACCAACAATGATGGCTGCAACCAAAAAATGGCCAGGTGTTGTGGCGGGCGCCTGTAGTCCCAGCTACTTGGGAGGCTGAGGCAGGAGACTCGCTTGAGCCCAGGAGTTGGAGGTTGCTGTGAGCTGTGATGCCATGGCACTTTACCCAGGAGGATAGCTTGAGGCTCTGTCTCGAAAAAACAAACAAACAAAAAAAACAAAGTTCCTTTAGTATAACAGGGATACTGAATAACATGTAATGTCTCTTTTATGGTTTGCACATGTTAAAATTAGCCTTTATCCTATGTAAATTTCTGAAATAAGTGGTATTTGCCATTTATAGTTGTTAAAATCTAGTTTTGACTAGAAAATTAAATTGTTCCATATAACATTAAATGGATCTTTGCTGATGGAGCCAGCTGGAACTTGGTGGTAATATATAAGTGGTAACTAGGGTTGACTTCCAGGTAGTTTCATTTCAGAATTATAGAAGGATGAGGAGGGTTGGAATTTTTGATCTTTTGAGGTTAAGGATCCTGGTATCTGAGCTTGTGAATATTTGGGTATTTCTGTAGCCCTGGGAATGTTCAATTGAAGCTCGTGGCTGGCTGAGTCCAGTGACCGCATCAACATACCCAGTATGATATATCTGGTAATGATTTTGTCTCCCAAATCATTTGGTGAGAACTGGAGTCAGAATAGTTTATTTCTTTATTTTTTTGTCTGTATGCTAGTGTGATGATACTTTTTTCAGAGCAGTAAGATCAAACTTGGCCTGCACGTTTTCTTCTTTCACGCATTTCCAGATCATCTCTATGCAGCAGAAGCACTTTAGAGAGCATCCTATTTCAATCTTTTAATGTCCGCAGAGTAAACTTGGCCTTAGAGGAGATTAAGAACTCTTCCAAGGGAGATACTTAGTTACTGTCAGACACGGAACCAGAGCCAAGTTTTCCTTGTCCTCAGTAGGAGACATTCTTGGGTAAAAGCAGTGGCTTTGTTCATTAGACAGTTGAATCCCAGTTGAAACGTTTATAAAACAAATGCAATTGCACAGTTTTTTAGGGAAATTAAATAAGTAATATATAAAATACCTACTGTTTTAGACTGCTGGAGCTGCCATAATAAATGGAGGCTGAAAGTCCAATATGGTTGGGTTCTGGTGAGAGCTTCTTCCGGGCTTTCGGGCTTCTTACTGCATTTTCACTGTGTCTTTGAAAGGCAGAGAGAGAAGGTGAACAAGTTCTCTGATGCTTCTTCTTATAAGAACAAATCTGAATATGAGGACCCCACTGTCCTGACCCTGTCTAAACCTGATTATCTCCCACAATCTTCATCTCCAGCTACCATCATACCATATACATTTTGGGGAGACACAATTCAGTTCATGGTAGCCAATGTTAGTGGTCAGTAGGTCTTAATTCCCTCTTCTTGTTTCCATTCCCCATTTTCACACCATCACTCCTTTCCCTGGGCTTTATTGTAACTTTTTGTAGCCCATGGGCTGTGATGGTTGTTCTGTCTTCAGGAGGTGTCAAGAGGACAGCCTTCATGAAAAATAAATTTTAAACCTTTTCTGGATGATCTTTATACTTCTATCCTGGAGGACATTTGAGGCTAACAGTTGCTGTAAAACTTTTCAAGTTACAGGGATATGGAATAGGGAGGGCAGAGGTGCACTGTGGAAAATGGTTGTTCTGCCAGATTTCTTTTTCTTTGGAGCAGTTTTGGTGAATTCAGAACTAGATCCTGGTGGGAGATAGAGGAGAGGATAGAGGGGATTGTGGAGAAAGGTTTGAAGGAATGTGCTGGATTAGGAATAGTGAGGCTTCAGGAAGAGAGGGACAATGCCTACAAGGGGACTTTGGAGGGAAAGCAATGCTGAGCCACACTGCCTGGTTTGAGATTACTAGCTGAGCAAAGTACTTAACCTCTCTTTATCTTAGTTGTCCTGACCTTAAATTATCTCAAGGGTTGTTCTCGGGATTAAGGGAGTTAATAAAGGTAAAGTACTTAGCACACTGCTGGTGTTCTTTGTCAGGACAAAATGAGACAGTGGGTATGATTGAAAATGTACCCAAGAATATTAAATATGGTGTGCTTAGGAAGAGACATAGCTTAGTCTCTGGCTTTCCAGAGAAATTGGTTATATTTCCAGATAGTTGGTTGTCTAAATACTGTACCATTTAACTGAATTAGTCTAGTCTTTTCTCATTCATTTCATACCAGTCATCTGTCACATTTTCACGTATGCACAGCCTCTTGTGATCATCTAACCTCTTGGTCTGTCTCTCCCTATGTCAACTTTACATTGTCTTATAAGTCCCAAGTTAAAGGACATCTGGTTGATTTTCAGTTTTTGGTGATTACAAATAAAGCCATATAAACTTTCACATGCAGGTTGTCATGAAAGCATAGATTTTCATTTCACCTGAGTAAATACTTAGCAGTAGGAAGTGTATATTTAATTTTGTAAGAAGTTGCTAAACTACTTTCCAGAGTGGCTGTGCCATTTTGCATTCATACAGGTAAGATATAAAAGTTGTGGCTCGGCACCTATAGCTCAACCGGCTAAGGCGCCAGCCACGTACACCTAAGGTGGTGGGTTCGAATCCCCAGCCTGGACCCGCCAAACAACAATGACGGCTGCAACCAAAAGATAGCCGGGCGTTGTGGTGGGCGCCTGTGGTCCCAGCTACTTGGGAGGTGGAGGCAGGAGACTCGCTTGAGCCCAGGAGTTGGAGGTTGCTGTGAGCTGTGATGCCACAGCACTCTACCCAGGGGGACAGCTTGAGGCTCTGTCTCAAAAAAAAAAAAAAAAAGTTGTAGTCGCTCTGCATCCTCATTAGCACTTAGTATATCTTCAGCTGTTTTTGTTTAGTTTTAATTTCTTCTTTGCTATTCTAATAGGTGTAATCAAAGTTTCACTATAGTTTTAACTTAAATCTCCTTAATGACTAATGATGTTAAGTATTTTTTCCTTTACTCTTTGTCATCTGTCTTAGTAAATTCAGGCTACTGTAAGAGAATACCATAGCCTGGATGGCTTAAACGTCTTTTCTCTCAGTTCTAGAGGCTGGGGAAGTACAAGATCAAGCAGATGTGGTGTCTGGGGAGGGCACTTGTGGTAGTTTGCAGCTAGCTGTTTTCTTACTTCCTCTTATGATGGCACAAAAGGGAGATTAATCTCTCTCATGTCACTTATAAGGGTGCTGATCCTATTCTTGAGGACTCTGCCCTCATCACCTAACTCCAATACCATCACACTGGGGATTTAGGCTTCAACATATCAATTCTGGGGTGGGGGTGTGGGGACAAATGCTCAGTCCTTTGCCTCATCTGTATATCTTCTTTGGTGAAATGTCTATCCAAATTTTTGCCCATTAAAAAAATAGTTTTCTTGTTATTGTGTTTTAAAACGCTAGTGTTTAAACATTTTCCCTTTTTTTTTCTGTTTTTTTGAGACAGTCTCACTATGTTACCCTTAGTAGAGTGCTGTGGCATTACAGCTCACAGCAACCTCAAACTCTTGGGCTTAAGTGATTCTCTTGCCTCAGCCTCCCAGTAGCTAGGACTATAGGTGCCTATCGCAACCCCTGGCTATTTTTTTGTTGTAGTTGTTATTGTTATTTAGCAGGCCTGGCCAGGTTTGAACCTGCCAGCATCAGTGTATGTGACTGGTGCCCTAACCACTGGCAAGGGGAGCCAAGCTGTTTTTTTATCTTCTTTGACCTACAAATTATTTAGAAGTATGTATTCCTTTATTTCCATACTCAGAAATTTTTAAAATTTCATTTTGTTACTAATTGAATTGTATATGGTCAGAGTAATAAGACATTTGTGATAAATATGTTATTAATATGTATAATTGTCTCAGAGTCTTGCAGCAACCTGGGACTCTTCTATACCATTCATATGTGATATAAAAGAAAACAGGAAGAAAATGTGATGCAATAAATTATATTGACATGACTCATTCAAATGTAACCTATTCAAAGTAGAGTAATGATAAAACGTATGGTAGAAACCTTTCTTAGTACAGAACACAAAAATTCTAGGTAAAGCTTCTAAAGACTTTTTTAAAAGTCCTTTGGTAAACTCATTCTAGAATAAGTGCCACATACCTTTGAAGTCCTCCCCTTGGGAAGCTATAAGTGCTTAGTTCACTCTTCAAAGCAATTTTGTGACTCTTTTTCTGGAATTGCCATCAGAGCTGTTGTATTGTCCTTGATGCCCTGAATGTCATAAAAATGTCTTTTTTTCAATATTTCCTTTGTCTTTGGGAAAGAAAAAAGTCATTGGGGGCTACAAGAGGTGAGTAGGGGGGGTGTTCCAATGTAGTTCTGTATTTACTGGCTAAAATCTCCCTCACAGACTGTGCCATGTGAGCTGCTGTGCTG